GGACAATGGCTCTGCACTGTAAGAGCTGCGCTGAATTATCAGCTACTGCTGGTTGCTCCACTACTAGCTAACCCTTGAAATAGTATGTATACCTCAGTGGGGTCACAAATTGGTTCATCGGATAGGTTTTTAGGGCAGAGAATGTAATGTTCCACATGTACGCTCCCCAGCAGAACGGACATGCTGTATGACCTTAAAGTTCCACTTGAAACTAATAACGACAATGGAAAATTTTCCCAGGCTTAATGAAGCCTGAATTGTAGCACTTCATTTTACTGATTACGTGGCAAAATAGGTAATTTCAAAGGGATGCTTTGAAATGGTTTAATTTTACTATTAAAGCTGGAGAATAAGGCACATTTTATAATATATTCTGTATAAGTATGACTTAATTAAAAAATATCCTGCATGCTGAAACCTAGTTTCAGTCATTTCAAAGCACACTTCTAATAAATATTTTTTTTTAAAGTACCTTTTCTAGGTTTTGCACTCTTTTTTTTTTCTTCATTTTCCTTTGTACTGATGCTTCCTAATAGAAGTACCAGAAAAATGATAATGGTAAATTCCTTGATTCTAGGATTCAGATTGTCAAGAAATTTCTTAGACCTTTAACCAACAAAACAGCTGCACCTGTAAAGAAAAAGCAGATGAGATTTTTACTTTGTCAGCAAAATCCTGCTGAAGGGAGAGAAGAGATTAAAAAGGGGCAATTACACAATAAAAAAAATAATAAATAAAAATAAAAAAGCCTACACATTTATATCTTAAATATATAATCTAGATGTTTATGACACCCTTTCTTATGGCTACAGAAAAAAAAAAATGAATGGAAACAATGGAAACATAAAGTGAGTTATTCACCTTTAGCGTGAATATACCTTTAATACTGTGTACCCACAATGTTTGTGCTTGAGGGTAACAGCAGTAATGTGTCCAAAAATGATATCCATATATTGAGGCATCCCCGTGGTTTTCTATTTTTCAAACTCACGGTGATTTATGCCCTGTGAGACCTTCCAGTGGTAACTATATAGGCTTCAGTACAAGTTTGTGACCATTGAAGGAACATCCTATAACTTGGGACCATGTGCTTAAAATTCCCTGTGCTTTATGTTCCAATGAATATGAAGTGGAGATAATCACAGCTGCCATCCTGCAATGTGCTGTGACTGTCTTGGCTATAAATTATGTAGTCATGTCGTGAAGTGAACTTCTAGACAAGGTGAAGATCTTGAAGTGGGTTGACTTTAACTCTCCCTTTTAAGCCAAGCCTATGTGAGAACCTTTCTGCTATAGTGAGAGCAAAAAACTCAGCCACAGAAGAAAAAAAATCATTTCTAAATATAGTTTCATTAACAGCAGGGACAAGCTGGATCCAGGAAGTTTCAATTCGTTGAAAAGATTGTTGCTTAGTTCCCTAAATATCTGACTTTGTTCAGGAGACATCAATATTTTATGGTTTATAAGCAGAATCACCTGTTTCACCAGCTACATAAAAGAGTGGTTCACATCAGCGGCATGTATGTGTTTGTGTGGGTGTAGAAAGGGTTACTAGAAAAGATATACTGATTTATTTGAGGTCAGGCCCCTAGGACAGTTAATTTAATACATGTTTTAAACCACAGTGGCATGAAAACGATAAGTAATCACTTGCTGAGTGTAAGGATTGATGGGTTACTGCAGAGATATAAATAAATAGAGCAAAATATCATCATAACATCACCCAGGAGAATGCACGCAATTTGGGGCAGGGACCATGGCAGCACACGTCTTCTGGGAAGTATAAAATGAACCTTTTGGACACTGGAAGGTAACGATAAGAAGTAGTAATAGGGGAAAACCTGACGGTGGGGGGCGTTGAAATATTTCCTTTTACACCATGCTGTAGTAAGGCAGAACATCAGCAGGTGGCACTGCACTACCACAGTGCTTTGATGAGCTGCCCCCTAACAACAGCTCTTTTCTGCTCTGGAAACGTGTTACAAATGTTAATTAATACATGGAGACATAACAGTGGGGTGATCATGTAGACATGGATGAGGTCCAACATTTGCATGTGGTTTTGTTCTTTTTACTCAGATGATGGGAATCAGTGGGAAATCACCACTAAGGAAAGCAAAATTTGTCTAACCGTTTGCTAAACTAAAATATCGCTTTTACATATGTTAGAAATATTAAACATGTTATATAAATATTAGTTCTCCACATGCAAGTCTCCCCCAGCAATGTGGAAATCCATCGCAGTCTCATGGTCTCCAACACCAGTGACACTGCAGACGCTATCAGTGGGCTGACGGTCTGGGATGTGCCCTAAAATCCATTTTGCCTTCTGAGTTAAATCAGTTTTGCAGTATTAAAAGGACTAAGAATGTACTAAATCATACTGTGACTTCTCCAGTCACAAGGAATTGCTATAAAGTCCTTAATCCAGCTGATACTTTTACTATATTCTTTTTGAAAGCACTTTCCTTCTGTTATGTTAAAGCTAAATGATATTGCTATAATGAGAACACTTGTTCCGAAAAATTGGATTGAGGCTTCCTATGTTGTCCATAAAGATCATACAACAGATCCTAAATAGCAGCAACCTTTGATCATGTTTGGCACTGGAGTTGAGCCAAGGATCTCAAGAGGAAGAAACACACCATGTCTCATTACCATTTTCATGAAAAGCGAAATCATGGAAATGTTTTGATTAATAGAAACACCCTAATAAAGAGCTTGGTTAGCTCTGAGACACAAGTTAAAGCTGACAAGCTGTCTTTGTATAATGTACAATTACATGCTCTACATAAAAAATAAAATGGATGAAAATTACGGGAAGTAATTGAAATTAGGTCGATAATCCTAGAACCAAGCTGAATTTGCCATTCCACAGCACGGTTTGAAACCACAAAACAGTTTCATGTCAAAGCTTTTGTTCCCAGTTCTTCAACAAGGATTACAATGGCCTGTGACACTTGTTTGAAGTTTTCTGCCTCTCTGAGCCAAGCGCAGGGATCCTCCCAGCGCCCTGGAGGAAAGCAATGCTCTGCTGATCCCATCACCTTCGCTGCCCACTGTGGGCTTGTAGCACCAACACAGTTATGGTTTATGCTACCAATCTGAGCTACAGCTTTAGAGTGACATGGGGAAGATTCTTCCTCCTACATATTTGGAGGAACAGTCTGGTAGAAGTGACTCTCTCCCACTGCCCAGCATCATTAATCCTTAGCGAGGCTATGAAGGAAAGCCTACAAATGCATAAGCACACTCGGCCCTACACATGGCTCAGGTTTCTTCAGTGGATGCTTTCCATTACCAGCTTGCCAGTCCTGATCCATGACTGTCATCCCAACCATGAACATTTGCTTGTGTTTAAAAATGAGTTTCAAATGTATCTAGGTTCATAATGTGCTCATTAGCAGAAACAACTTCCCCCGTACCTTCCAACAGTCTTTCTGTTCCACCAGTAGAATCCATTCCCTAATCTATTCCTTTCCCTCATTCATATCTTATTATTAAGCCTTTTAATTTTCAACCACCAAATCTTCCTAGCTTTAAATTTGTCTGGCATCTTTCACTGCTTGACACTTGTGTCCACTGGGAGGAAAAGGCTATTGAAGAAAATATCCCTCCCCTCGTAATACCTAAGAAAGGCTGTGGAAGTCATAGAGATTAAAGATGTTTATAAGGTCAGGTGTAAGGGAGTAGGTGAGGACACCTGTGAGCAAGTGACCCTGTCTGCCTGGACTTTTCCTTGAATCTGTCTGTGTGCTCCTGGTTGGCAGCCCGTTGTCCTCTGTTCCTGTGAAGATGAAGCTGCACTGTACTAAAATATGTTTCACTGCTGCCTACTCATGGCCTATCATACCCCTATTCGCCCTTTTCAGATCTTGCAAGATTTTTATTTTTAATTTACTGCTTGTAATAGTTTAAGAAAATATTGTTAGTTTTGTAAGAAATTAGAAATACTACTGGAAAAAACAAAATAACCCATCAATCTTTTAGCATGTCTGAAAGCAACTGAGGAAGTTACCTATAACTTAACTCTCTGCCCAAATCTTGCTCTTGTTCTACTCCTGCCGATAGGATCTTAGAGTCCACTTTAGAAATAATATTATTATGCCTAATTTCTGCTGCAGCAGCATCCATGTGACAGAGCCACAGGCTATGTCCCAGTGTGCTGTGGTACTGTTACTCCACTGCTCACAGCTTCAGGTCCTGCCCAACGTCTGAGTAATGTTAGCAGAGTTTGGCTCATTATCAAATAAATTACTACCTTTAGCAAGATAATGATCTTAAGTCTTCTGCAGTGCAGCAATATTCAAACAATGAATCACGTACCGGAGTTGTCAGGATATGTGTTTCTAGCTTTCTCTCCTCTTTCAAACTGCTGAGCTACATCAGAAGATAAAGATATATAAATCAAACAAACGTGTCTTGGTTTGACTTTTCCATTTATATGTATTGTGTTGGTATCATAACTTCATACCATCTTGGGGGCACAAAAAGTGGATCCTGAATGGCACGGTGGATATGTAATATCATCTGTTGGGATGTGAGCCTTCCTTTCGAAAAAATTGTTCTTTTTCCCTGTTGCATTGCTCATTTACCTGTATCCCAGGAAGATTTAACAGGTGAATGGGAGTCACAGGCTCTCAAACCTATAGCAATTTGTATTGTTCAATGGATACGTATACACACATACGGCCAGAATCAGTAATGACTGCCCTGTCAGGCTTTCTGCAGGTGGTATTTAATAGATATTTTCCTTTGGTTTAGGTGACGGATCTCTGTGATCTTGGAGAAGGATCTGTTTTCACTCCTGCTGGTTCTGCAAAGCTCCCAGGGGAAGCTCCGAGACAGGCCGAGTCCTGCAGCGCGGCGCGGGGAGATTCCAGCGCTGCTGTGCTTGAGATGCTTTCCTTAGGTTGTGGCATAATGGGAAAGGAATGCACTAACACCCAGGCTGCCGGTAAACCTGAATAAACTCGATTCAGACGCTTAGGAAATCATACCCATACCACGCTTTTAAAAACTCAGCCCTTTAAATAACATCAAAATAGTTACTTGGTGAGCACTTGAGGAAATTCGAAGAGCGGGCTGCCGTGCCAGCCCCACTTGGCACCTCCAAGCAGTCGCGCAGAGCTGTGCCCCCACGTTTGCCCGGTGATATTTTGGTATTTTGGATCCTGAGGAGCCTCAGCAGTGCGGGTCCTGCCATGTAGAGCACATCTACCACCCGAACCTTGGGAAGCCAAGCGGTGAAGTGCACAACGCGCGACTCGCCAAGGCGGCGTTGGCAGAGGGCTGTGATGCTGAGGAGGGAGGAGGAAGGCTTCAGCGAAGGGCTGGGGCCCCAAATCACGCAGATGTCCCCGTGCTGCTGCTCCGAGCTGGTTCCTTGAGCATTTTGGTGGAAGTGCTGGCTGTGGAGCCAACTTTCCCCGGCCCGACCCGTAAGGAGCCATTTCACCACACCGGAGCCCCCCTTCCCGTGCCCCCGGCGGGGTTTAGCGGGGGGCTGGCGGGCCCCTGACCCCACAGCTCCCCGGCTGGACCCCCGGGAGGTCAGCAGGCATCCGAGAGGCAAAATGGGCGCTTTCCCTCTGCATCCCCGCTGCAAAACCAGCCGGGAAGCTCACGGGGGAGCCGGCGGCGAGCTGGGGCTGCGAACCGCGGCGTGCCGGCCCCTGGGGCTGGCGGGGGTGGTTTAAAGGAGGGGAAGGAGGAAAAAAAAAAAAAAAAAAAAAAAAGCAAAAGCAAGCAAAACTCCGCTCCGGACAGGCTGGGCGGGCCCTCCTGCAGCTCACCGAGCCTCACCGAGCCGCCTGCGGGACGAGCCGGGGTCGGCCCGGAGCCCGGTGAGTGCCGGGGGTCGGGAAGGGAAAGGACGGGCTGCTGGGGGGGAAGGGGTTCCTGGCAGGGTATCGCCGGGGTTTTTTGGGGATAAAAGGTGCTGGAGGAGGTGGGAGGCTTGGTCCCGGGGACGGTGAGGGCTGGGTGCCCCCAGCTCGCTGCCTCCGTCCCGGGGTAGCGTGGTTTGGGCGCAGCTGGTTGCAAAGCTCCTGGCTTTCTTCTCTGCTCCGCGTCCCGCTCAGGAGCACAAAGAGAGGGAGCTGGGCTCGGGGCCGAGCTGCTGGGCTCGGCTGCGTGTGTCTGGTTTGGAAGGTGGTGGTGGTACAGGGCTGCGATGCTGCGGGTCCTGGGCTGTACGACTGCCACAGAGCCGGGGCTTCGCTGGCCTTCCCGTCTTCAGATCAGAGTGAAGTCAGGGAGCAGCCTCCTGCTGAAGCAGCTCTGTTGGGAACTGCCGTGCTCAAGTCCTCCAGGAGGACTGGAGGTGTTGCTATCCGGGTCTGCTACGTGGCCAGGCAAGGTGAGCACCAGCAGTGTCCCTAAGAGAACATTAGTAACAGGGAACGCTACGACTGGTGGAGTTTTACCGAGTGCCAGCAGCCTAAACCATGCCCAGGGCACTGCTGTGGGCTGCCAAGCAAGGCCCTGAGGTGCCGGGCAGGCAGTACTGGGGCTGGTTTGCTGAGGATCCCAGTGCTCTTTGCAGCTCTGACTGCTGCTTCCCTTCACAGACATCTTTTTTTTTAAAACCCTACTGCTCCCAGTTTGCCTTAATGTACTTCAAAGGCGTCCTTCAGTCCTTAAGGAAAAGCAGAGCCTGGAAATTAGGCATGGAAACTTAAAGCCTTCTCTTCAGCCTTGTTTTCAGCACAATAGATGCTTCTTGCTGCTTGTATGGGAAATACACACATTAAGTGTGATGGCCACTGGAGTGGAAAGAGGTGAATCAATTTGCCAAAGGTCAGAGAGCCCATGTCAGAACTGGTGAAGCCCCGAGGGCTTCTTGGCTCCCTGCTGGTAGATGACATTTTATTTTTTGCATGACCAGGGCGCAGAGAAACCAGCGATCGGTGTGTGCAAGGGAGAGCCGGGTACCTGCACACGCCCAGGGAGCTGTACCTGTTTGTCAGGAGCTCGCTGGCCCCTCCCCACCTAACTGTCTTCCTCTCTTTGTTGCTTGGGCACTGCGGTATTTCAAGCCCAGCCTTTTATCCCCAGTCCCTACAAGTCAGACTGAAGAGCCCAGCTCAGGGGCTGGAGGAGTTTGCTCTCCGTGAGTGATGGTTGCAGGCCAAGTGATGGCTGGGGCCACCAGCACTGTGCCTCACGCTCCCATTTCACGTTTTGTTGGTTCCCTCCTTGATGAGAAGGGCTCCTGCGTGCCTCTGAGGTCTGCTTGTGCTTGCAGCCCTCCTTACGTGGCAGTGAGCAATAGAGAGAGGAAACCTGACCCACAGAAATGCGATGCTCTGGGGTTCAGTGTGCTGATCTAACTCATTTCTGAGTTTGTTTTTTATGCAAAAACCGCATGGCTTTCCTAAGGACAATCTTAGTCTGGCTTTAGCAACCGGTTACTTGTTGACTGTTGATTCAGTATCTTGGGGCTTGCCTGCAAATAAATTCATGCAAATGAAGTGATATCAGAAAGCACACTTACTGGGTTACATTGTGGCTTTTTTTCTTCCCTTTTTTTTTTTTTTTTTTTCTTTAAAACTCAGTTCCCTGAGTGCAATGAGTGCACCAGCGAAAGGGGTGGTTTATTTTTTGGTTTCTTGCTCTCTCTTTACACATCTGTATCTCACCTAAAACAAATTTACTCATTGCAAAATTCAAGCTAAATTCAGCCTCTGTCAACAAGGTGAGTGTTAAGAAGCAGCTCTTCTGGGACACACTGATAAACTGCATGAATTCTGTAAGGAGTCTGCCCAAGTCTCCCTGCAGTTCTGTGCTGTCCTATCCTGCACTCCCTGCTCTGTGGAATTGCAATTACAATCCAGAGCAATGGTTCAGTGGAGAAAGGAGCTGGAAAAAAAAAACATTTCCTGGCTTGTTCCCTCAGCCCCCCTTTAAAATAGGCTATTGGGTGGGCCAGCTCTTTCTCTCCCAAGTGTTCTTATAATCCACTTACCCTGATAAAAAGCAGCTCTGCTGCCAGGCAGTGTACTTTCCATCCTGACATGTAATTGCCGGGTGGTGGAGGGAGGGAGAGACTCTGGCTGTCAGGCTGGAGGGAGGGAGGGAGCCAGGCCAGGGCGCGTGCTGGGCAGCATCGTCGCGTGCCCAGCCGTGGAGCCCAGGATTCAGGCTCAGCTGAAAACCTTCTCCCTGCTCACCCTCAGCACAGGGAGCAGGAAGGGAGGCAGGTAGCCAAGATCTGAGTGAGCGGAGGGATGGAGAGAGCCAGCCCAGGGGTGCAGCTGCGGCAGGGCTCTTTTTTTAGCTTGTTTTGGTTTCCACACGTGTGGGCCGTGCCAAGGTGGCTGAGCCGCCTTGATTCTCTGCTGAACGCGAGCCTGCCTCGGGGCTGGGCTCTTCTGGCCAGGGATTCAGCAAAACAAACAGGATTTACCGCCATGTCCTGAAGGCCAGATGAGCTGCTGAGCTTCGCTGGAGCAGGGGCGTTTGGGATCTCTGATGTGGAGAGGAAGCTCTGGTGTAGGGCTGCCCCAGAGCAAACACCGTGGAGGAAGCCAGAGGAGGTCTGTGCCAGCGCGAGAGGATGCAGAGCCACTACTGACAGGGACCTGCTTGTGATCTACACCTCAGCCAGGGTTCCTCCAACATCTGTAAATGTATAGCAGAGGGAGATCCTGACTGCAGTTCTATGACTTAATATTTTTTTAAGAAGTGAGAACGTGCAGGTCCCTTAGAAGCAGCTCCCTGCTCCTCTCCCCGCCTGGCAGCGCAGCGCTCCTCGCTCCTTTCCTCCAGCAGAACCTCCTGCTGTACCTTGCTGGCCTCCAGCCACCACAGGAGCAGACTTTGCAGGCCCTGAGGGCTAGCAAACATCCACTGGGATATTAGAGCGCGGATCCTGCCCTTGTGGGGTTGGAGAGCCTGGCTGCCGTGCTGGCACAGCGTGCTGCTGGTGGTGCAGAGGTATCAGGACGTCAGGGCTCCATCTGGTTGTTCAGTTTGGGCTCCGAGTTGCAGAGGGAAGCAGAGAAGTGAAACTACACGCGGTCTGCTCAGAGCAGGTAGGTGGGAGGAGGGAGGGTTGATCAACCCCATCCCCAGCAGCTGCCGACATGAAGCAATTCAGGAGAGCAAAGGCACATCGGCTTCACACCAGGCCCTCAAAGGACCTGGCTCCAAAGCTCATCTCAGCCCGGGGAGGGGCTGCTCCAGCTTGCGTCAGGCGTTGGATCAAGGCACTCAGAGGGTTTGAAGTGGCTGGGAGGGAGGTGGCTGCTGGGTGACCCCGTCTGCTCATCGCACCGCTCAACTGCTTCTGCTCAGAGGGCTTCGCTCCGTTTCCTGTTTCATCTGAAATTTCATAACCTCTCCTTGTAAAGTACAGTAGTTTATCTTGTGGTTCTGCGTTTCACGTCTTCCTGCCTGCTCTCAGACCTGTTTCCTGCCTCTTCTCCTGTGCTTTCTGTTTCTCACATCAGCTCTCCTAGCAAGTCTTCCTACCTCGCAAGCTGCTTACAGCAGCTAGTGCCTTTTCTGAGACAAACCAATCCCAGGCAAAACCATCCCAGCCCTTACACAGCTGCTAATTTGACCCTAATCCATTTGAAAAGGAAAGGGCTGGTGGGTGAGGATGGAGTTGAGGAGGGAGGTCCCTGCTCCCTGGTACTTAAGAAGGACCCAGGGCATGATTCACACACTTCCTCGTGGGAGCAGCCGAGGTTTAACTCTTCCCTGATCACTTCAAAGCAGATTATTTCAGGTCTCTTGAGCTTCTGTGATCACTGTGCTAGGTAAGGAGGAGGTGGGGGGAGTTAATCTCTATTTTAATCAATGCCTGATTTAGATAGCTGCGTTACGGACCCATCTCCTGCCTGAACTTCCTCATTCATTCTCACTGCGTTTTGCAGACTTCCTGGCTGGGCGTCAGTGGTGGGTGACTGCGCGGAGCCTGCTCAGCGCGGCGATGGGAGGAATGTGAAGCTTAATGAGCACCTGCAAAGCTGCACAGCAGGTAAGTGCTCCAGGGGTCATTCTTCCTTCCAGTTTTGGCGTGATTTGATCTCGATCAGCTCTCGCTAGGAGATCTTTAGCCTTGCAGAAGTGCTGGAAGGGAAGTGGTGTGGCTCATGTTTTAGGAACCGGTGTTGTTTCCAGCAACGAGGGGCTGACAGCATTGCAAAGGTCTAGCAATACTGAGAAGATTTAATTGGGAAATGTCTTCAGTTTGGAGGTTCAGTGTTAAAAGCCTCTTGCTTCTGTCATTCAGTCTAGAATTGCCCTCATCTGGCTGCTTGGTACCTTGGGCTCTAGTCAGAAGGCAGATGGGAACCAAAAGGTCCAAGCTTTGCTGACAGCAGCTACTGTCACACTTGCTGCCACACAGGAGAAGTGGCTGGAGTTCCCTTTCCCAGATCCACGGAGAGCTACATCCCCCTTCTTCCAGCTTTCAGAGGGGAGGCCAAGGCCTGGAAGTGCCTGGACAGCCTCCTGATGATCAGAGCTGACGGTAGAGGTGGTTGGATCAAAGTGAAGCAGCAGCTTTTACAAAACAGCAGAGTTTTAATTGCCCAGATGATGTTTGTCTGAGGATCCCTGAGAAACCTGGGGAAACTCTGAGTGTGTGGCTGCAGACAGTGGTGGGAAGGGAAGAAACGTGGCTGGTGGCAGAGGCAGCTGCCAGAGCAGCAATCCTGGCTGCTGTCGTGTCCTGCTGCAGCTCCCAGTACCTGTTTCTTCACGTACTCCATGTGATTTTGCTTTTTTCCTTATTTTTTCTGGATCCATGTCTGCGTCGGGTGGTGTCTGTCCCCCTTTTTCCCATCCCAGTTCGTTCAGATGGCCACTCTGCTCCTCCAGAGCTCAGCTCACTGCATTCCCTGGCATGTTCCTCCACCAGCCTGGATCAAAGCTGTGAGAGCTGGCCCACTGCCATCACCCGTGTGTAAATGAGGATCTCTCTCTTCTTCCTTTCCCCCCACCACCTTTCATTAGTATTCCTCTTCCAGAGGCAGGTTTTTCTGGCTGATCCGGCACATTATTTATATCAGCAACGTTTGCCTCAAGGCAGAGATGCTTTTTCAGCATTTGCAGGGCAAACATCTGATGCACCCCACTGCCATGCATGCGGCTTGGAAAAACCGAGTGTGGTATTGGCAAGGACGAGGGCTGCTGAGGCCAACTGTTGCAGAATTTAAGTGCTGTTAGGCACAGTCTGATTCATACGGTTACTTCAGCTGCCTGGCGAGAGAAAATGTCTTGTTCCTTTGCTTTCAGAACCAGGGGGAAGAGCACGCAGAGAAGGTTGTTACACCTGAGCAGAGAAGTGATGTGTTTAGCTCCAAGGTGTCAGCTGAGCCACCTTGGTGTGGCTTTATCTGGGTTCCCCAATGGATGGTGGGTGCTGTCAATTAGGAAGATGCAGTTTGTAGCCAAAAAAAATCGAATGAAAACGATGAAACAGTTCAAATGCCTTGTTTTCAGTTCTGAATCGCAGAGGATTTGGTGATGTCGGAGTGCACCTGATGGGGAGTGGGAGCAAAAGGTTCCCACGCTGCCTGCAGGGGGGAGGTGTCTCTCATCTGTGTGAGCCAGAACCCCACTAGGGCTTACACCTTCCTTTGCAGAAAGTACACACAGCGATGAGGGGAAATTCCTACAGGTCAAGGTAGTTAGGCACTAGTCTAGACTGTCTTGTGATGCAGAGATGGAGATTTGCTGGAAGCTTTTCAGAGCAAAGCAGGGATTTGCCAGAAACCATCCAGGCAGCTTAGGCTCTGCGTGTAGGCAGGAGAAAACATATTGCTCTGTCAGGGCAATGCAAGATATGCCTATTTTTAAGCTCTGGGAGAATGTTAATGTATACAGGAGGTGGAGCTTAAGAGATGTTCTCAAGCCTAAACTGTGACACTTCATGCTCACAGTACAGGCTTGTGGTTGTGTGTATCTGGATCCAAGATGCTTACCCCCTAAATCATTTACCCCTGAATGTTCAGGCACCTGACTGCCACTGGTTTTAGAAAAAAGTGATTTCTAGATTTCTTGATTTTCTGTCGTACAGCTGCTTCTAAGCTGCCAATGGCAATCCACTGGTGATAAACAGAGAAAACCTTTTTCTTCCAGGATAGGAGGGGCAAGGATGAGATAGGGCTCTGGATTTTGGGTGGCTGGAATTTCTCAGCTGGCTCTCCCCTGCTGTAACACACGGTGACACGAGTTACCTTGACTCTTCAGGTGACTTTTGACACAGAGCTGTGCTGCAGTCCGACCTCAAGAGCTAGCCATGCCCCGTCTAATTATCAAGGCCACGCTCCTCTGCAACCAAAGACAGAAGGCAGTCAGGAGGTGCTTGGCTGACATCCATCCCAGCTCCTCGTTGAGCCGAGGCTGCTTCGTGCTGTTGGAACGGGTGCGGGTTGTGATCCCAGGCTCTTAAAGAGTTACAGGAGGAAATGCCAACCGAGAGGGACGTGCCTGCGCTGCAGGTCACCCACAGCACGTGTTTTAGCTCAGCCTTGCAGTTGTTGCTGGTCCTGGATGCTTTCGGTCTTCCACACAGAGCTGGGAGCTCTTTGCTCCCAAGCTAAGCTCCTTGACTGCTGCTGCAGAGGGGATTTCTGTGCCCATGAGCAGGGGCCCCACAGCCATGACTCACAGTTCCCATTACATCCTAGGGCAGCCTGTAAGCGTGCAGAGCCTGCCCCTTGGCTCTCAAACAAAGCCCTCCTTTGTGGTGCTTATGTTATAAAGGAAGCAAGCGTTTGGGTTCACCCCACACATCCCAAATAAGAACCACGTGTCCTCACAGCCCTCACATGCGCGTTTGGGTCTTTTGCTGCAGCACTGCAAGTTGCATCACTCTTACCCCATTAAACACTTCCAGAGTTTTGCTTCCCAGCAGTCAGTTTACAAACAGTTCAGGGAAAGGAAGAGCGTGAAGATCTCTTCCTTTGTTGGTGAGCAGAGGGGGCTGAGCGAAGGGCACATGGAAATGATTACGTCCGGGTGCGTGCAGCAATCGGCTGCTCTGAGTCACTCATTTGGGTGCAAATGGCCCCGAGCTGGTGACCACTGAAGGATGAGCTTCGTGGAAATACCGCACAGAAGGGGGACGGTTTGTTTTCTTGTATGGCTTTGCTTCTCTCCTCTGGTTTTTATTCATCCGAACTAGTTTTGAGAAGCGGGGATAGCCAGCAGTGCTCTGCAGCCAAGATATTTGTGTGCGTGCGTGTCTCTTGGCAGTCCATGGGTTTATGAGGAGTGAGCCAAGAACGGGCTTACTGCTTCCCAGAGTGTTTGTGTTGTTTCCCCTGCTCACTTCTAGAGCCACTACGCGATGAAGGAAGAGGGCCTGACGCTTCCTGCCCGTGCTGGTGTGCTGTGAGCAGGGAGTGTCCTAGTGAAAGCAGAGGAAAGGCTGTGCGAGCAGTGAGTTTGCTTGTGAGAACAGAGGAAGTGTTGCAGCAAAATCGCTCTTTGTTGCTCTCTTCTCCTTCCACGCCCTCCGCCCAGCCCTTCAGGGGTTCCACGGTCTGGTGTTTTTGCTTTATTTAAGGAACTATATTTGTATTTTATAGAAAAGCCGGGGTTTTAGGCAATGGAATAAAGCGTTGCTTTTCATTTCTGTGGTGACGTTTTTGCTACCACAGCCAGCTTTTTAATACTGTTCCTCCCCGACTGTTTGAATACAAGCAGCTGCAACCAGTTATCAAAACAATGCTCCAATATCACACAGACCACCAGGCTCACCCAGTGCTTCTGAGCCCTGTTGAAGCAGACACTTGGGGGCCTGCAGGGCTCCTGACACAGCTGCATTGCTTTGCCACTGAGTCAGGACTGGGATGGAGTGGGAGACCTCAGACCAAGTAAATTTCCAGCCCACAATGACAATTTTTTTTGCTGTTTTTGCTTCTCAATGTGGAAGCATTTGGCAATTAGAGGCATGTGCTTTCTACTGTCTGTAGCATATAAAAGCTCCTCATTACGTGACTGCCATGGGACCTCCTTGTCACACATAAACCACAATCATTCTGCAAGTCACATCTGAGCTGTGCCAGTATCTACGTGTGCTCTTCTTGGATGAGCTGGGATGGTGTATCCCTGCTGGGAAACCAACTTTCTAGTAAGGTTTCCTGCAGCCCCTATCATACTGAAGCACCCGTATCAATGTACGTACAACACACAGTGAAGTTGGGTGCGTAGGGATGCAGGGAATATGCTGAAGGGTGAGGAGTGTCGGAGTAACTGCTGGCTGATTTAACACTGCTTTCATTTTCTTCACCTTGCTGAGAATTAACCGGGAAAAGGAGGGCAGGTGTGAACAAAGATCTTGGCAATTTATCCCTTTTTGTCTTCGCACACCCTTCCACGAGGTGACTGTTCCGCCTGGACCAATAAGCCACCGTGTATCTGAGGGGGTGACAGCCAGAGCTCCTGGGATGATCCCATCGTGAGCTCCAGGTGGAGGCCAGCCAGCACGAGTGCAGTGGCATCGCTCCTCACGTTGTCACTGACATTACAGCCCTTCAGTGAGGTAGAGGGGGGTTGTTGTTGTTGTTTGTGACCATCTGTGCTGATGAAAGATTGTGCAAGGGAAGTACCTGGCTCCCATCGCGCTTGGTTTGAGGGGGAGGGAGCTGCCGAGGTTGGTAAGCCAACTTTTCTTTTCTTTTTTAGTCCTGGCATGTGTTTTTTCTTTTCCTAAAACCATAAAAGTTCGGTCTACTCCAATTGTTCTCCTCTCAATTAACAGATAAAATTTATTCAGCTTAAAAAGCCAAGCTGTTCCTGGCCGGGATCCTACCACAACAGCCCAGTACGTGGGTGGGAGCCACAGACACACTTCCTACCTTTCCCCTCCTGCATCCCTCACAGCCAGCAGCCTGTTACAATTTGTAATAAACCCTTCCTGGCCATAGAGGGGGGAACCCGAGGCACTGCACTGGCTGCCACGTGCTGCTTGCTGGCAAGAGCTGAGCTGGCTTGCACAGTTAAAAAGCAGAGAGACATTCAGGC